ATACATTCCATACGATACATTCCATACGATACATTCATACGATACATTCCATACGATACATTCCATACGATACATTCATACGATACATTCCATACGATACATTCCATACGATACATTCCATACGATACATTCCATACGATACATTCATACGACACATTCCATACGATACATTCCACAGCTAAAACCCAAGTTAGTACCCGGATACTATATAAGAGGTGTATTTTACATAGAAATGATATATGCTACATAGTTAATACCCGGGTATCTTGTATTCAACTGTGAAAAATTTTTATAGAGGATACTTTGATATGGTCCGCGCTGTACGGTAGTTAATTAATTAATTTGAATCACTTAGAAAGTAATACCTTTTCAGGCCTTTTCGTAGCAGCTGCAATCTTTGTTATGCTAATGCTACTAGTATTTGTAGCCAAAATTGATTCCTTATTTAAAATATTATCCAAATTTTCAAATATCTTTTGTTTTAAAGCAACATTTTCAGAAACTGCCTCGATAACAAAATCAACATCTGATAATCCAGAAATATCAGTTATAGTTGTGATCCGTTGTTTTATAGAAGTGACTTGTTCTTCCGTAATACGGTTCTTAGTAACATCCTTGCGAAGTAATTCGTCTATAAATTATAAAAAATCCATTTTTATTTTTTGTATTATCTATAATTATCTATATTATCTATGTTATCTATATTATCTTGGTTATAGGTGTTAAGAATCTGTATAAAGAAAGGAATTACCTACTAATTTCAATCCTTTTTTGATCTGCTCAGGGTTTGAATCAAAAATTTTAACAGGCAATTCTGAGACTTTTGCACCAACCAGAGCGATGCCCATCCCCTGTTTATATATAAAAGTATTATATAATCATTATCTGTAAATTAAGTATAGCTAACTATTATAATTAACTATTATAATTTTAGTTATAATAGTTAAACCTATTATAATTTTAGTTATAATAGTTAAAACTATTATAATTTTAGTTATAATAGTTAAAACTATTATAATTAACTATTATAATAGTTAAAACTATAATATATTCCATGAATACCATTTGACCGGCTCCAACAACTCCCAATCGTTTCACTTGTGTCTTAAAAAAAAAGATTTTGTCCTGATTATTGATAAAACTAATCTCAGAGATTAAAAAAACTAACTTACAACAGCAGAAGAATGGATGTATGACTATGATTGAACAAAATGAAACTTCAACATGAGAAAGTTTTCTTGTATTAGAATACTCATAAAAAGAATTCAATGTAAATCACCCTGAAAAGGCCAATATTATTCGCGGTATAGCATTTGCTTATATGACTGCAAAGTTGAGATATCATGTTGCCTGTAGAAATAAAAAAAAAAAAAAAAAAAAATATTTTATCGGATTTTTGATAAGGTTTACTATTTCATGTGATTATAGATCACGATTAGGATGCGAATTTACATTATACCGTATTACACGATTGGTATAATACCAGTATAATACCAGATAATACTAATAATAGAAATGGGTTAGCCAATTAAATTGTTTTTATTTGCAATTCTTAAGTTTTCCATTAGAATAATACTGAAAAATTCCGAATAATATTAAGTTGAGAGCATAATGGTAGTTATACCATGCTATACCATATATTATACTATATCGATATACCATTTTCTAAGTATTATATCGCATCCCTAGTCACGACAACTTTAGGAAAAAAAAAAAACCAAATCATGTGTTTGGTTTCTCATCATTTTTTATATTACCTAAACGAAAATAGGTATGTACTAATAAGTAAAAAATCAATAAGTAAAATAGTGGAACAGGGGTACAAAAATGCAAATATAAGCATTAATGTTTTGACACTTGTAAAAATAAAAATAAAGAATACAGTACAATTTGATTTGACAAAAAACAAGACAAATAATAACTAGATGATCGTACGTACGTACGTACGTGCTGTACATGCCAGGTACAGTACGTGCCCGATAGTGTACATACGTGCGTACGTACGTACGTACGTACGTACAGTACGTTGTGAAAGGCAAATCTATCCTGTAATACAAGAATCACTACAACACTATACCAATACAAACTAAACTACTCTGACTAAACTCTAATAATGGTAAGGTTTCGATCGAGGCGTGGAAAGATTGGTCCGAGATTACGTCACGGGTCTCTTAATACGAAGTCACGGCATCTGGTCACTAATTCCTATCAGTAATACAGATTTTACTCATCGGGGATGGATTAGTAGAGCCGAACACTTCTACTAAAGAACTTGGAAGGTTTCGAACTCTGCGAGCTGGTTGTCAACGTACGTACGCATGTACAGTACGTACAGTACATGCCCGATAGTGTACATACGTACGTACAGTGCGTACAGTACGTGCCCGATAAGTGTACGTACGTACGTATGTGCAGTATGTGTTAAACCAAAAATGAAATTTAAAATCGGTAAACATAAAAATTACATGTCTAATGATGCTTATAATTATTCTTAAAAGATTTGTTTAAAAGATTATAGGTAAAGATATGGGCGAGATATAGACCCTTGCATTAACGTATATTAACGTAATTAACGTATATTAGCGTAATTAAGATATCAGATATATTAGCGTATATACTAACGCTAAGAAATAATGTATATTAACGTAAATATTATACGTATATCAGATATTAACGTAAATATTAACGTATACAGTATAAACGGATATTAACGTTAACGTATATACTAACTGCTAAGAAATAAAATAGCCATCTAATCTTCTACTATTAGCTATGCATTAAAGTTAAATAGAAGCATGCAAATGCTATACTTTAAAGCTTCTTTTATTATACCTAGGGGGGTGAATTATATTAAAGTCACGCAACATTATTTTTATTTATTTTTCCTAAAACATTAGCATCCTTGTAATTATTCCTTCAACCAATAAGGAACTATAAAAAAGTTTTTTTTTTCATTGGAACTCCTGATAAAGAAACAAAGTTTCATCCGAACAAATTACTATAAATCTCATTAATATTTCTATTTACGTGTTAGTGGTAAACGATGTTTTAATTAAAGTATTGCAACGATCAAACTAGAAAAAAATAAAAGGAATAGCGACGATAAGCATTGTTCAATCAACCTTTACCTATTTTGTATAAATTTGTGCATCTCTTTGACTCTTGGTCAAGTTTCTGCAACTTGATGAAGTCCGATTGTGGATTGTGCACCATTATCCATTATCTATTGTTTTAAAATATTTATTTCTGAATTAAACTTGAAATTTTTTTTCTTTTTGATAATTGCTTCGATTTTTTTATACGTACCAATTAAATCAAATCAGATCAAATCAAATCAAACGTTTATCGTTATCAGTTTCATTGTTATAATCATTAAAATTTCTCACGTCAAAGTTTTTACGGCGTTGCATAACATAGAAAACAAATATCTTTTATTTAACAAGATTTCTAATACTGTATGTTTCAAAAATAATGTATTAATGTATCGATAAAAAAAAAAAAAAAAAAAAAAATTCAAATTTGATTAGGTCATCAAGCGTAATACAATTTCGGAAAAGTTAAATTTGTTTCTTTGTTTAGTATTTTTTTTTTTAAAAAAATCTTTTCCTGAAATCAATTTGATTATTGAAACTTTGTGATTAATCGCATTTATGTAAAACCAATAAAAGCGTAAAAGATTTTGAGAAAAAAAATATGCGTGAAATTACGTGATTTTTTATTGACAAAATAAAAATGCAAATTTTGGAAAATGGTTAATGCTAGTTCAAAAAAAAAGATGGTACATTATTATTTAATTATCATCAAAAGATGAGAATTCTTCCTTGTGATAATATGACTATTATGTCACCTTGTAGTAACTTATAATAGTAACTTGTAATAGTAACCTAACCTTGCAGTATATTCTTTGCAGTATAGTAATAACCTTGTAGCAACCTTGTATGTAGTAATTTTTGTAGTAATCTTATATTATTTTAAGAATACGTTCTTGTCCCTCATTAATCTATGCAGCCTAATAAATTCTTCAATACTCCCTTGCCTTTTAAGTGAATTATAAACAGGTAAGAATGTTTCTGCATTAGGATGAAATCCATGTTCTTGAAACTTCTCAATGGTCTCAAGTGCCACTTTTGACATTTTCATGCGACATAAATTCTTTATTATGCCATTATATGTTTCCTAATTATTAAATTATATTAAATTATTAAATTATTAAATTATTAAATTATTAAATTATTAAATTATTAATTATTATTATTATTTTGAATTAATATCAATAAAATTAATCAATAAAATTCATTTATTAACAATTCATTTATTACGTGTATATTACTACCTTATTTAATGGTGCTTCATTATTTGTCATATGATGCAAAACTATTAATGCTTCGTTAAGGTTACCATTTTTCAATAATGCTCCCATTAGAAATGTAAACATATAATTCCGTATTTCTTGTGGTGTCATTTTATAAAGTTGTCTATACTCTACATTATTAAGATCAAGTTTTACTTGTGATGCTTTTCGTCCTTGTGCAAGTATAACTTCTTTCAACATTGTTATCATTGCAAATCTAGTCGTTAGAAATGCTCCAATTCCTATACCTATAATTGCTACTTTTCCTGATGATATTATAAGGTCAAGATCTTGTGTAAAAAATAAATATCCATATGCCATCCATTTGGCTCCAAACATTCCAATCGCTATATTTTTTATCCATTGAATCCAATTTGTTATATATGAACTCTTAATTATAATTACTGTAGACTTATCAATCGTGGCAAATGCTCGTCCAAGCTCCATTTTGTTGGCGCAGGCAATTAATAATGTTTTATACGTATTAATATCTGGTTTTACTACTTGACTTGTCAACATACCATTATAAACCGCG